CAACACTTATAGTTTTCATGATGCTTAATGATTCTTGCTTGTATCTCTATTATGCAATTCATGTAGGGAACTTGTGAGGAATGCTTTGGATTGTCGTATGCAATCATCCAATTCATTAACTTAAGGAAAACTTGACGGTTAATTTAAGCGGACCTAATTAACCCGGGGCGTTGAGAATTCATGGTTTATTGAAAAGCAATTAGACATCGTTTTGTATGCAAGTATAACATATGTGGAGATGAACCCCTTAGCTAGCTTCCCATCCATTCATTTCCGTCAAATCCATATTTACAATTTGTTTTGTTTCCAAGTTTCCATTTTTAGTTTAAAGTCGTCCAAATCCAATCCCCCTTTACTTTATTGTTCAATTTAGTTAGAAATCAATTTAGTTTGTGTTTTTAAAGCATTTTGAGTCTTTTGGTTTGTCTTAGTGTTTTAACGTTTAGTTTCACATTCTTTGAGTCTAGTTTAGTGTTTTATCTTGTTTTTACGCTTTTGAAGTCAAATCCAAGTGGTTAACAATCCCTCCTAATCCCCGGTCCAGAACGATCCCTACTTACATCCATACTACAATTGTCAAAAAGAGGGTTTAATTTGTGCGCGTATAATTCTCGCATCAAATATATATTATGATGGAATATTATTAGTTTTGTTTATTATTATTTATTCAATTACTAGTTTTGTTTATGATTATTTAAATTGTCGTTTTTATATATTTTTTTATTATTAATATTTTTTCTGTCGGTTATGGACGACATAATTGTCCTTGTATCACTAAATTTCTCAAAATTTAGTGTCGATTGAATCCGACAGAAGGATTAATGCCGCTTGTAGCTGATGCATTGTCTCCTATCCGACACCCTTTTGCTTTTCTTGTTTAATGGACTTTCCTTTTTCTTGGTGGATTAAGAGTCCTATATGACAACAAAAGCCTTTTCGTGACACAAGCAATGCTGTCGGTTCTTTTATTAGCCATTACATGAATTTCTGTCGAATTTTTTGCTAATTTCCGACATAAATGGGCTTTTTTGGCATTTTTAAAATGACATTACTGGGTACTTTTGTAGTAGTGAAGGACCGTCGTGCATAACCTTTGATTGAAACGCTTTTCCTTGCCACCTAAGACAAGCATTTCAAGAATTAAAATTCGAGCACAACAACGTATGTGAAAGGACATAGGTAAAGGAAAGAGATGTACTTGTTTGTTGAGATGTTGCAGGAGCTGCCTTCTCTTGCCCATTCCCTCACTTGTCACTTTTTCCATCACAGTTATTGAATGACTTTCTTTTCTTGGCACTTTTAGAGAATTCCCCAGAGACATTGCCCTCTTTTGTCATTTAGGGTAGGTTAGGCTTCGAGCTGAGGGTTTAAAGGAGAGGGGCAAGCGAAGATGTGGATGGCAAACCACCCCTAAACTTGAATTTTTGTATCGGCACAAGCTAAAGTGGCTCCACTTTTTTGCAAAAACAAAAAACAATGGATAAGCTAAACAAGAGACTTAAGAAATAATTTACTATTGTAAAAATAAAAAATAAAAAAAGCAACAATTAACTTTAAAGTTAAACCAACTAAAAGATGTAACAATCCAATTAAGTAAGTAATATAATCAAATTCGATCCCCAGCAACGGTGCCAGAAAGTTGTTAGGAAATTAGCAACTTAAATATTAAGCTACTAATTACACGTTTTAAACTCACAAGTGCACAAGATCAAACACATAGTGTAGAAAGCAAGTACGAGAACATTCCCACGAGGATTGCACTAATATGTACTAGAATATGATTCATTTATAAGTGAGAGCTCAACCAATTCTTAAGGAGACGTTAAGAAGAAAAAACCTAATAAAGTAAGTTAATATGGTATAGTTAACTTATTTGTGGCCTCATAGTAAAAGATCTAGTGATATTTTTATTCATTTATAAGTGAAAGGTTTTAAGTTTGATTCTTGCTAAAAACGAATTTGAGTAAAATTATTATGGCTAGAATCTTAGGACTAGTTTGGTGTTGTTGTGCTATTAAAAAAAACAATGTTTATGCTATGTTATGAGAGTAAATAGTTGTTGAGTGTTTGGTAAACTTATTTTTTGTAAAAGTGCTTTTAACAAAAAAAAAAAAAATGTACAAGTGTTTGGTAAACTTTTACATAAATTGGTGTGAATATGTTAAATGACTAAAAAAGACATGATATTTTTTTCAAACGATATTATCTACACTAAAGAGGTGAGGGCGTGGGTTAAACTTCACAATAGGCTAGCAATAATGTGGTTCAAGTTTGCATTTGGTGAGAATCAAACCTAAGACCTCTCACTTACAAGGGAAAAGGAATACATGTAGACTGTAGTACTAAGTGACAAATAGAAATGGTTTAATGTAATATAATAATGGTCAAAGAGAAATGTAAGACAATGATTGTAATTTTGTAAAATATGTGGTATACTTGCCATTTAAAAAATTTATTAAATGGACACTGATTAGTGATTACTATGTAAGACAAGGGTATATTTGCCATTTTATAGAAGCATGGTTGACTTTGCTTATGCTTTTTTATTTTTTAATTTTTTAATTTTTTTTATTTATGTTTTTCTATTGTCATTGTCAACAATTTCTTAAATTTTTTTTTTTTTTTTTTACCAAACACATTTGATGTTTCAAATTTTTTTTTTTATATATATTTTTTATGTTTTTATTTTAAAAACACCACAATCCCAAACTAACCCTTAATTCATTTTCCAACCCTTTAGTATAATAACATTGTACTATTAGAAGAAAAAAAAAAACAAAAAAAAGCTTATTTGTCTGTAAAGAACAAATGGAAGACCTAAAGGGCAAGTAGCTTTGGCCCACCCTACTCCCCACCATCGCATTCGGAAATGTCACTGCCGATCAACCTCTTGTCCCAGAACCACCACTATCATCTTTTGCTCTTCACCATCATTAAGAATTAAACAAATATTTCTCAGTAAAGAATATACTACTACTCCATAAAATTAATTACAAATTATGTCTTGTCTTTACTTTTAAAGTTCATTCAAATTTGTCCATTGTATTCGTTAGGAATAAAATGGATACATGACAACGTCTTTATTTTATTTTATTTCTAATTTTTCTGTGTGTTTTAAGTGTTGAAAAGAAATAAATTTTTTTCTTCTCATGGATACGAACAATTATTGTGGAAAGGAAAATAGTGCAAAGTAACAACGGAGTCACAAATATTTGCAAATAAAAAAATAAGTTGTATTTATAATATGCATAATTCTATTAACACCCTACAATCTTATGAAGAAACTCCGTACTTTATTTTCTCACTTAAATGTCTTTTTTTTACCCCTATTTGATTTAAGTTAGTAAACAAGGAGAAAACCTCACCACCTAACTATTTCCTTGCCGGGCCTGTGCAGGAGGACAGACTTCCACGATGAAGGTGATAGAGGTAAAGGAGCATCCAGGTTGGTGAGTTGAAGTGTTGGATTGTAACCAATGAAATGGGAGTTTTCAGCCTGATGCCTATGGAGGTAATTAGATATACTTGGTCGTCGAATTAGGGTTGCCAGGTGTGCTTTTTGTTTTTGGGGGTGGGAACGTGGGGTGGCTTTAGTAGAATGAATGAGGATCTTCTCCTGGATTTTCTTTGTGAAGATCCTCCAATCACGTCTGTTCAACGTATATCATGCGGCTAATTTCCGTCAGGTACTGTTTATATTCAATTTTAAATAAAAATTACAATAATTTCTAACCGCACGATGCACGATGAACGAACGTGATTGGAAGATTCACGGATCCTCACAAAGAGGATCCTAAACGCAGAAGAATGAGGGACAAAGTTGAAATTGTCTTCACATAAAGTTGTGGGTGTGTTAAAAAAAAAAAAATCCTATAATATTTACTTATTTACAACAATACTTCTAAAGACTTAACACGAATATCACATAACTCTCTAGAATTCATATATTTTCACTTAATCTTCGAAACTCAACTCATGGCTCCTTTTTTTTTTTACTGCCAAAGTTCATTAACAAATCAGTTAATATTATTTGCTTGACACGAATATGACCCATTATTGCTGATAGGGTGATGCTATCTACATGCATATCTCAGATTTTTATTGTCGAATCGAATGAATTAAAGAATGTCAAAGAACATAAATTAACGAAAAAAATGTGTGAAACAGAAAAAAAAGGTAAAAGAATAAAAAATTATTTTGAATTTAAAAATTATGTTTCTATTAATTTGTCAGCCTGATGGCGCTTTATGGGACACATCTCTCAACAAAAGATTGCATTTGTTTCACGTAACTTTTACCTCTCGAACACCGCCCTGCTTAATCTAAAAGCATTTCGGCCAAAATATCTCGACATTCCTACAAGACGTGCCAAATTTCGTCACAACTAACAAGTGTCTGCTGGCCCACCCGATCGACCTCCACCGGCATCTCCGCATCTCCTCAATCGAATCTCTCCTCTCAATTCCCAAATCTGTATTTTAATTTTTAATCACCCACGTCCAATTTCTTCTTGTGGATTCTTCTTCTCATAGTCCAATTCTTTATTTTTGGCCTTTCTATCAAGGACAATTCTCCTTTTTCTGATAGTCACTGCTCCATTATTTATACAAATATATATATATATAAAAAGGACCGACTCTGAAGACCCCATCTGGGAAAGAAGACGAATCTCCTTCTGGGGCTGCTTTGATTGTTCTCAGCTGGCGGGTCTTCGCTTTTTCGGTACGTTTTCTCACCTGGGGTTTGCTTGGCATGCTTTGATTTCCCACCATTACTTACTATTTGTGATTAGATTGTTAATGCTGGATTTTGGATGCCTTTAATTTGGCTTTGGTTTCCAAGAAAATGCAGCAAAAGAAAATGGACAATTAGATTAAGACTACATTTTTTGTAATGGGTTTGCATTCTCTCTGCAATCGTTCATATTTCAATTCAAAAATAAAAAATTTGATGCAGTTTTCGATTTTTTACGTTGGATTTGATAAGGATCAAACATTCAGGATCTGGGTTCGTTGCCTGGTACCTTATAATTGTTCTTGGGCAACGAAAGAGATAATTTTTCAATGTGTTAAGTGTGACATTGTATGATTTGGGGTTAAACAGAAAATGGGCAGCGAAATCGAAGAATTTGAAGATCCAAAACTTTCATCTGAAGCATTGGAGAACAATCGTGCATCTTCGTCGAAGGAAGGCAAAGGAAAGCGGCTGTGGGAGAAGGTGAAGTATCAGTTGGTTGAGTACCACACTTTGCCAAATTACTTGAGGGACAATGAGTTCATCTTAGGCCATTACCGGTCTGAATGGCCATTGAAGCAGGTCTTGCTTAGTATGTTTACCATCCACAACGAGACGCTGAACGTTTGGACGTAAGTTTCTATATTCCCCTCTTGAAGTTTGCAATATTTAATGAGAAAGCAAACACTGTTCATAATTTTCCTGTTTCTTCTGAGTTAACTGTAGTGGATTAAACTGTGAATATGACAATTTACTTCGATCACAAGAATTGTATTGGCTTCCGTATTTCTATGTCAAACCCACGAAATTCTCTGATGTGAAATTATGTATCCTTTTTTTGTTGTAGAGGTGCGCAGTTGGTTTCTTTAACTTGTGTAAAAATTTAAAAATACATTTTTGGTGACTGATATGTCGGAACTAGAACGGCATAAACTTCAACGTTGGACAATCTTTTCTAACAAATTATTGCTTTCCAGGCATTTGATCGGATTCTTCCTTTTTCTTTCCTTGACCATATACACTGCAATTAAGGTTCCAGAGGTCGTTGATCTTCATGCTCTGCAGCATTTACCTGATGTGCTGAAAAAGGCTGATCTGCACAAATTACATGAAGAATTCATGACCTGCCTCCCTTCCTTACCCAACATGCCAGATCTTAACAGACTTAGAGAAGAGTTAAAGACATCGTTAACTTCAATCGATCTGCTACCGTCACTCTCTGGTTGGCATGTTATGGAACTTCTGAAAAACTGTTTGCCGCAACGATTCTCCCATGGCAACCAAACTGATGTCTGTGTGCTGGTATGCTCGACCTTTAAAGCCCTAGATCCAATGATATAACTTATCCACTGACCATTTATATACATTCGTAATACCTTTTAAGCTTTTAGATGCTTCCATTATGTTCAATAGGTTCTTTCTTCCTTAATGAACATTTTGCTATTTGACGTTCTCCTCCAATTCAACATGAACAATAAATAGTTTATGTATTGTTGAAATATGTTAACTTATTTTGGTCCTTTGGCATTTAATTATTTAGTTCCTCACATCTACACACTCATCCCAAGACCCCAGTGTGCCATTTGTAAGGCTTTGATTTTCTAGCATAATGTGCTTAGAATTGTGTCATATATGTGAGATTTTTTTTAGTATAAATGTGATTTTTGCAAAATGGTTTCCCTTAGTAGTTTGGCTACTCAAATTATCGCATAGCTATCCATGTAAGATGATATGTAGGAAAGTTGACTGATAGTTGTGTACTATTTCACACACACGGGCGCGTGCACAATCTAATTGTGTGAGCCCTTGGAGCATTAAATAGTATAAAAGCATGAGCAGTTAGAATCCCCAATCATATAAATCTACTTTCCATTGTCAATGTTACTGTACTTTGGGATATGCATCCGCTAATATACTTTAATTTGTTGTTTGGATTAATGCAGCGTAGCATGAAGGAGGATGTAGCAAACATAGTAGCACCATTGATGATTAGACCAATCACGAGATGGCCATTTTTTGCTTTCTTGGGGGGAGCCATGTTTTGCTTGCTGACCAGCAGCGCATGCCATCTTCTCTCTTGCCACTCCGAGCGCATGTCGTATATCATGCTCAGGATGGACTATGCTGGAATCGCAGCCCTTATATCTACCTCATTCTACCCTCTCGTCTACTACACCTTCATGTGCAACCCTTTCTTCTGCGCCCTCTACATGGGATGCATAACCCTCTTGGGAATCGCCACAGTTTTGGTTTCCCTCATCCCAGTATTTCAAAATCCCGAATACCGAATAGTCCGTGTATCTCTTTTTCTTGGCATGGGCTTGTCCGGGATTCTACCTGTCATGCACAAGCTGATCTTGTTTTCAGATCAACCTGAGGCACTCCACACAACCGGGTATGAGATTCTGATGGGGCTTCTCTACGGCGTGGGAGCCCTGGTTTATGCCACAAGGATCCAGAACGATGGATGCCTGGGAAGTTCGACATAGCAGGGCACAGCCACCAGCTGTTTCACGTATTGGTGGTGGCGGGGGCATACACCCATTACCGTGCAGGGCTCGTGTACCTCAAGTGGCGCGACTTAGCGGGTTGCTGATTTAGTGAATTAGGAAGACTGCCTATTGACTCTGGTATTAGTGGGTAAGGTCTCTGTTTGTTGTTATTTTTTGCGTAGGTGAACAATGACGTTTCTCTAGTGTAAATAATGTGATTTCCGATTTGTGACTAGAATCGGGCACAAAAAATCGTGTTTGGTTCGCGGGAAAATGAAAAAAAGGAAACATTGTATTGGAGTATTTCTGTTTTTTCTTGTACGCTTTCTATATGAAGGAATTGCAGTGCAGTACGCGAACAAAAAAGGAATAAAAAGAATTTGGTTTTGCTTTCATTGAGAGTTGAACTCAAGACCTCCCGCTTACTAAACGGGTGCTCTAACCAACTGAGCTATGAAAGCTTCTTGTTATATATTCCATCTCGTTTATTTTTGACAATAATACGGCCTGCGGGTGTATCTAGACGGTAAATTTTTCACACCGTATTTTGCTCCGATATTCTTTTCCAATGCATCCCCTTTTCCCGTTCATCCATTTATTAGCGTGGAAATTAATGGGAAGAAAATTTGTATATTTAAGTAGATCCAAGCAATATTTGATAAATGAACCTATTTTGGTAAATTAACTGATTTTGATATTGTAGTTTGGTTAAAGTTCTATTTTAATTTTACAGATTTTTTCCCAAGATCAACTAAATTGTATGAGAAACGCCTCCCATGCCATCCGAACGTGCTAAATTAAATAAACATAATTAGTAAATTATTTAAAATCATGAAAAATCAACTAAATTAAATTAGTATAACTTCGGCCAAACTACAATCGTCACAATCATCAATTTGGTCATTCATTTCTGTTCATAAAATCCCAGATCACAACCATAGTCCAAACTTCATCCAAAAGTAGCAGCCATAGTCCAAACTTCATCTTTCTTCCTCCTTTCTCTATCATTTGGTAATTCATTTCTGATCATAAAATCCCAGATCACAACCGGCACTGCAATGATTACTTTCCCTTTCTACCTTCATTCCTTTCGGAAACAAATCCCCTTTCTCCCGTAAACGTCTCCCCAAAATTCAATTCCCACTTCCAATTTTAGGCATTTGTCTCACATTAACAAAAATCCCCACAATCCCCAGAATCCCAATCCCCCCTTCTCTATCTCTCTTCAAATATGCATCCTAATCCTATCCCCCTCCTCCCACTTACTTCACCTTCCCACCTCCCAAACACCTGCCAATGGCGAAACCCACCCACCAATCCCGACCCTGCACTGACGGGTTTTCCTTCCTCGCCGGCCTATTCTTCGCCCTTTTCTTCGTCTGGTTCTTCTGGTGCTTCATCGCCCTGTACCATCACAAACCCAATTTCGGATTCCTCCCTTTTCCTATACCCGGCTCGGGATACGCCGCCCACGATCCGAATCCACAACCCGACCCCATCGACACGACTTTCTACGACGACCCGGAACTGAGCTACTTCATAGAAAGCCCGGTCAAGAACTGGGACCAGAAGCGGCGCGTTTGGCTGGACCTACATCCGTCGCTCGCTTCCGGGTCGCGGGACCGGGTCCTCCTCGTCACCGGATCGCAACCGTCCAAGTGTAAGAACCCGATTGGCGATCATCTTCTTCTGAGGCTGTTTAAGAACAAGGTGGACTACTGTCGTTTACACGGACACGACATTTTCTACAACAACGCGTACTTGCATCCCAAGATGGACTCCTATTGGGCAAAGCTTCCGGTTATTCGGGCGACGATGCTGGCCCACCCGGAAGCCGAATGGATCTGGTGGATAGATTCGGATGCGGTTTTTACCGACATGGAATTTAGGGTTCCGTTGGGTCGGTACGAAAATCACAACCTTGTAGTCCACGGTTGGCCCAATATGGTTTATGGGGACATATATAATAAAAGTTGGACCGGGCTCAATGCCGGGGTGTTGTTAATTCGAAATTGTCAATGGTCCATGGACTTAATTGATGAATGGGCCTCGATCGGTCCACAGACCCCGGATTTTGAAAACTGGGGCCGAATATTGACATCGGTATTCAAGGACAAGCCGTTCCCACTCCCAGACGATCAATCCGCTCTGATTTACTTGCTCTTCACGGATGTGGAGAGGTGGGGCAAAAAGACTTATTTGGAGTGGGAGTACTGCTTGGAAGCTTATTGGATAGGGGTAGTGGGGAAGTACGATAACTTCACCGAGAGTTACGCCGAGACGGAGCAAAACGACAGCGGTTTGAGGAGGAGACATGCGGAGAAAGTGAACGAGTGGTACGGTGCGAAAAGAGAGACGTATATTAAGGGGCGCGTAAGGAGACCGTTTGTGACGCATTTTACCGGGTGTCAACCGTGCAGCGGAGAGCACAATCCGCAGTATACCGGGGATTCGTGTTGGGACGAGATGAATAGGGCTTTGAATTTCGCGGATAATCAAGTGCTTCGAAATTATGGTTTTGTGCACCCTGATTTGAGTTCGTCAACTGTTTCTGTTTTGTTGGAACGTTTGATTGATTAACTAAATTGTGAGGTTTTAAATTATAGAAAGATAATAAGCGTAGTTGTGTTTTTGTTGGTTGTACCTGTTGTATTTGATGAAATATGTCCTCTACAAGTAATCATATTTTATTGAGAGTAAAAAAAATCTGATAAAACAATGTATTTGATTTCAACTAAATGATCCTTAGATTCCGTGGAGTGTAGAAGCGAAGGTTTGCAATATATTATGAAATGGGAAATGCTGCCAAATTAGAAAACTTGGTCGATAAAAAACACATGATTACTGGTTTGTACGTGGTCACTATTTATAAACAATGTGTCATTCTTGATTGGTGTAACTGATCACGCTACGTTTAAAATTTTTTTTCTTTCCCAAAGGTAAGAATTTCATTATACTTGTCAACAATGTAGTGGTGTAATTTTATAAAATGTAAAGGATTACAAAGGCAAGAAGGGTCCCACTTAAGACAATATTAAACAGGTTAAAAAACTACTTATGTAAGTGATTAGGTTGCGAATCTTCTGACATTGGTATCTGTTAGTGTTAATCTCCACTATTTACTTTTGGTTTTGGTTGTTTTTTTGTGTACAGTATATTAATAAGACCGAGAAGATTATTATTATTAATTTGTAATTTTAAAACAGTATCTCCATATGGATTGTAGGACACTTTCTGTGCCAAATTTCATGTAAGATGCTTTTTCCTTGTAGTTATTATGTTTCTGCTTACCATTTGCTTACCAATTTATAAGTTGAAAAAAAAAAAATTGAGTTGGGGGTGGGTTTTTATTTTTTATTTTTTCCACCATCATTAAACATTTATTGTTGGTTTGATTGCTTGTCTAGCGATACCTCCTAGCTGTCGCTAAGAGTTTGAATTTAGGATGCTAACTAAGTAGACGTGTAACAGATATGCAAAAGTAGGCGGGCAACAAGTGGAACAAGATACCTATTCGACTTTTCGCCTCACCCTATCCAACTAGACAGCACATCTGTCGTCCTCAACTCTCTTGTATCTGAACTATGAGTCTAAGAAATCCGCCAATCCACGTGATGTGTGAACAACGAAAGTTGTGTACGCTATACAATGGAGGATTCAAGAAGTTTTCCTATCAGGCCACTTTAAGTAGTAGCCTGTGGTGCCCTACTAGACCATGGCTCAACCTCTTTGAGGCATTTTATCAAGCATTTGCCCCAAGGAGAACATCAAAAGAACTTGGACGATATCATGTGTAGCAATAACGGTGGGCAGTCGAGCAATTGGAAGCCTTGGCGGCCCCTAGGTGGATCCGCCAACGGAGATATGAAAGCTAAAGAATCAATTAAGCACAATGCAAAGTAAAAGAGGGTAGGTAAGGTAGCTATGCGACACCAAACCCCTAATAAAACCTTCCAAGTCTTGAATCCCCATTAAAAAAACAAGTATATTTATCATTATTCCTAACAACGATTAAGCTATCATTAGGGTTTTCCGAAATTGTCATCATCATCAACAACTCCCCCCTATATACCTTTTGCATGGCCAAACACCTCGCCACTCATAAAACAGATCCAATAATTTAGTCACTTTCCAAGGTGCCATGTATACCATTTAGTCAACAAATCAGTCAAGAGCTTTCATCATCCAATGAATCCAACAGCATAAGTAAGTGACTAATAAATCCAGCTTTTACAAAAGCCGAATAAACAAAAGCAATCAAACAAAAGCTATATGCCAATCTTTACCTTTTCAAAACTCGGCCGGGTAATCAAACGGCACCGGAGTGGCCGCACTATCCCCTGTGCTCGCGTGCACGTACCCATATTTACGGAGCACCTGGTTATCCGCGAAATTCAACGCCTTCCGCATCCCGTCCCAGCATGACTCCCCGGAATACATCTCGTTGTGCATTCCGCTGCACGGCTGGCATCCCGTAAAGTGCGTGACGAACGGCCGCCTCCAGCTCCCCTTCCCGTACCCCGCCTCACCCAAGTACTCCTCCCTATACGCACCGTACTGCTCGCTCACCTTTTCCGCGTGCCTCCTCCTTAAACGCACCGCATTGTCCTCCTCCCCTCTCTCTATCTCATCGTACCTGGCCTCGATCTTATCCAGCGTCCCCACGATCTCCGCCCAGTACCCTTCGAAATAATACTCGCTCTCCAGATAAATCTTGTCCCCCCATTTCTCCTTCTCCTTGTAGATCAAGTAAGCCAGCCCCGTCTGATCGTCCGACTCCGGGAACGCCTTGTCCTTGAACGTTGACCGGAGGGTCTCCCCCCACTTCTCGTACTCCGGGGTCTGCGGGCCCATGCTGGCCCACACCTCGAGGAAATCCATGGTCCACTGGGAGTTCCGGATTAAGAACACACCTGCATTGAGCCCGGTCCAGCTGTGCGTCTCCGTTACCAGGTGGGTCCACCCGTGGACGATGAAGTTGTGGTTTTTGTACCGGTCCAGCGGGAGCTTGAACTCCATATCGGTGAACAACGCGTCCGAGTCGACCCACCAGATCCACTCGGCCTCCGGGTGGGCCACCATGGCGGCCCGGATTACGGGGAGCTTGGCCCAGTAGTTCCCCATCCGCGGGTGCAGCAATGCGTTGTTGTAGAAGATTTCGTGGCCGTGGATTCTACAGTAGTCCACCTTGTTCTTGAAGAATCTCAGGAGGAGATGATCGCCGATAGGATTTTTACACGCGGACGGCTGGGATCCCGTCACCATCAGAATCCTTTCACCCGCTCCCGCCGCCAACGACGGGTGGTGCAGCAGCCACTGCCGCCGCTTCTCGTCCCAGTCCCGAACCGGCTGCCCGAGCGTGTACCGGACCTCCCGGTCATCGTAGAAGGTCCGGTTCCGGGGATCCCGCCGCAGGTCAGAGTCGTCAGCGCATTGATCGGCTTCAGCAGCGGTCGGCGGCGGAGCGACTGTGCGGTTGAAATTGGGGATAGAAGAAGGGGTTACGAAGGTCCAGAGAGTGAGGAGGAGGAGAAGAGCGATAAATGCGCCGCCGAAGAAAAGCAGTCCGTCGGCGACCCAGGAAGAGGGCCTTGTTCTGGCATAGGGTTTCGACATTTGAGGCAACTCAGGGGAAAGCATTGGAAATGGAAAATGCGACAGGGTTGGGTTGTTAACAGTGTCGTTTTGCGGCCATGGATGAAGGGTTTCGTACAGCTTCTATTCTGGTCCTCTGGATATGTTTAGCAGAAGGGTTTAAGTGGGGGGAGTGTACAGTGCATAGTCGGTTTAGTAGCGCTGAAGATGCTAAAGTGCGCCACGATCTACGGCATTCGTTGGGTCCCTTTGTCTAGCCTACACCTTGATCAAGCAGACACGTGTATGTATGTGTTTGTGAACCGACACCTTCGTGGGTAGAACTTAGAATTTTGTCGCTTTTACTTTTATGACCCACACCATGTTACTTTACAGTGTGGTGCGTTTCACAAGAAAGGAATGACGGAAGGTATTATGGTCATTTAGGTGCACTTTATTGTGATCTTAATAATGAACATGGACTTGCTTGGGATGAAAAGGAAGCCTAAAATTTATATTATTTGGAGAGAAATATTCTCGAGATTTTTTCAAAATTAAGATTTTCATCTTATATTTTTTACATAATATATTAAAATATTAGTATAAAAATATGTTGACAAAGAGTCAACGCAGAGTTTTACTTTTAAAAAATTCTGCAAAAGGATTTCTTTTATTTGGCAGGAATTGGTTTGGCAAATGGAGTGGGCATAGTCTGGAATTGAATTCGTTATGATGTTGATTGATAATTACCCAGACAGGTGGCAACATTCAAACAAGTGATAAACATAAGATTTTAAGCTTATAAAATTGCAACCCACCAAAGCAACTTATTGTCACATAATTTCTAGTTCTAGTTCAAATTGTCAAAAGAGTTTATTCCTCCATTTGAGGGTTTTGTATCTGATTCTCGCCACCTTCGATACCACGTGTATAAAGAAAACTTCAAGTTCATAATTAGTTTACATATATTCATAAGATAGTGATATAAATAATGGATAAATTTTGATATGTATCGGGAACACATAGATGATACACCACGTGTTATAATATAAGTAAACAGCAAGATTAATATGTCTCACTTTAGAGCATATTTTTCAATATCTCTCTATTTTATAACACATAATGTACCATATTACGCTACGGATACACATAAAAATCTCTTCAAATAATGGTGCAATAGTGCAATGAGTCTTTTCAATAACCAACATAAAAAGAAGATTTTGTAATGCTTGCTTATTTACATATATATTCGAGATTTATATAAAAGTTATGAATGCATCTCTCCGCTCCCTTCCTCACATTTCATTTGATGTACTTCCTGTAAATTCACATCTCACTATGCAATAAGTTTTGTTGGCAAACATTGGAAGCTTCCACAACTTACAGTCTAGTGATGTTTCTCTTTTCAATATTAAATAAGTTTTAAGTTTGCAATACCAAGACTTTAGTGCAATAGCGGTTTGAAACGATAGGCTCGATGGAAGGTTGGGTTGAACAATGTCAACCCAAGGCAACCCAAACGGAACCGGATATTATGAACAATAAAAATGATTGATTTTACTAATTATGGGCATCCCTCTTATTGTAATTTAGAATACTACTAGATTGATTGTATATAAACGTGAAATCGGCAAATAGGCTGATCTTAATAAAACGTTCTGTGCAAGACATACAAACACTATTCATATGACATACCAACACTATTTTGGATAGGGCATTATTTGCCCTAGTTTTAATCTTGCCCTCTTTCTTTAGCTTGCCTTCCCCCTTTGCTTCACTTTGTTCTGATTACCGCAAGCAGGTGTCTCATTGCCTGAACAAACGCACTCTCGCGTTAATTTTCACTCCATTTTTCAAAATTTCAAATGAAATTACCCAAAATACAAACCATAATTACGAAACAATCCAAAAGATTTCTGCACTCTCTTGTTTATTTAAGTCTTTTTATTCTCCATTCATTTATTCAATTAAAACTATATAATTTAAACAAGATTGTGCGAGAAGATCACTTCCCAACATTTTCTAACCCAGTTTCTCAGTGTCAACAGCGCCAGGTTTCTTAGAGGCATTATGTCGAACACCTTGTGCTTCATTTTCAAATTGATATATTGTTGAAGGTAAAAGAGGCCCAATAATTCCCCTGCAACGAGAAGCTTCTGTGCGGAGTCTTTTCCATTGAGCTCTCATAAGCCTCTGAGGCACACTTTCGCCTTTGCCGTCGTCTTCACCGCTCGTCGCTGAAGTCCCACTTTCCTCTAAGTCATCTGTATTGGATATAAATGTAATTGGCATGTGCTGTGCACATGGTATCAGATAGGATTGTAAATGTCATGTACTGTGCACATGTGATTGGTAGCTTACTCTCTAAGTCATTGTATTAGAGAGGTTCAAAAGGGGATCTTGGATTGAGGTATTCTGTGAAAAAGAAAGAAAACATAATTGTAAGAAAAAGAAATATTGAGAGAAATTGGAATTCTTCTAAACTTTTCATCTTCTTCTCAATATTTGTGAATTGAATTCTGTTTCTTCATTGTGTTAAGAATCTGTTCGTACTTTGAAAGTAAATTGTGATGGATCATGGAATTCAAAGACAAGGCTGGGGAGTTATGAGTGGGTGATTCGAGATTTTGCAAGGTGTTTGTGGAGAGCAGGAGGGGTGGGGAAGAGGCCTTTTCATTCGGCAATCTTGGCGGAAGCGGAGGCTATTCGTGCAGCACTTGTGTTTTGCAAAAACGAAGGATTTACGAAGTTGGAGATTGAATCGGATGCCCAAGTGCTGCTGCGAATGATTAACAAGGAGGTTGAAGTGGATGTTGATTCAGAATGTCTTCCGTTTGATATTGATTCTTTGGTGAAGTATATTGGAGATGTTAAAATTGGGTTTGTGCCACGGGTAGCAACCTGGCCGCTCACACGATTGCCTCATTTACTACCAAACATGGTAGTCCATTTATTTGGGATGAAATAGGCCCTGAGTTTTCATTAAATATTCTTGCATATAAACATTTCGATTAAGTTATAAATAAAGTCTATCTTTTGACAAAAAAGAAAAAGAAAAATAAAGTTTTTATCACAAATGGTCCCTAAAATTGACCCTTGCCATCAAGATGCTTCCTAAAATTAAAAATCAATCAATTTAGTCCCTAAAAATAGGTGTTGCAAATCAATATAGTTCTTCCGTCACAATTATGTTTAAAATTCTGATGTAGAAAATCACCTTTCAAACTAATTCCAAATTCATGATGTAGAAAATCAAGCCGTGAACTTTTGCCCGACAGGCAAGACAAGGAGAGTTATGCGAGGGACATTCTAGCTCAAACAACACCCATCGCCACCTCATGCATCTTCTCAATCTTCTTCAGCCCCAGCCCACCCAATCCTAAGCCAATTCTCCTTATCGTCTCCTCAAAAAAAAAAAAAAAAAGTAGTAATAGAGAACCAAAGAAGTTCATGCTTCTCTAATTTTCTTCTTCCTCAAGATCCCCCCGGCGCCTTTGCCATGGGCAACCACCTCTCCTCCACGCCTTGCCAGTTAACCAGCTGCAGTTTGGTGGGGAAATTCTTTTCGTGACAACAATTTCAGCAAAAAGAACATATCACCAAAAAAAATTCACACACAACATACAAAATTAAGTAAGAAGTAGGAGAACATACCTCCACAAATATTCAAGTGATGAAGATGCAGAGAGATTTGAAGAAGATTAAAACGAAGAGACCGAGACCAAGAAGACTGCTCCACTCTCCAAAATAATCTGAAAAGAAAAACTCTTTTGGTTTTCTTATATGACAACATAGACCACTAGAAAAAAGTGGTAATGGAAGCTTGTAGACAAAATTTTGTAAACTAAATGACATGGAAGTTGATGATTATTTCTTATTAGTGACGCATCATTTAATTTGGAAATTTAGTCTACAAATTATCTACCTAGCATTACCCTTCTTTGAAATGGAATGACATTTTAGACTTTGCAAATTAAAAAGTTAAGATTGATTTTGGAATTCAAAATGTTTCATTAAGGGAGAAAAGTGCTTCCCTTATTTTCGGATAGGGATTCTCTTTCTTTGTTTTTTTTTTTTTCCTCTCCCTCCTGTTTGAATGCTCCAGATTTCATATTGTTTTTTCATCTTTGTAGAGAGAGAGAAAGAGAGAGAGAGAGAGAGAAAAAAAAAAACCTGTGAAAGGAAGGGAGGGGAAAAGGGAAGGGAAAGCATCTTTATCCCTTATTTTCTAGGTATTTCTTGATAAAATGCTTTACAGTGCTTCTGTCCAACTAAAATCACTTTTGAAATATTTGTCAAATGACCTTTTTCTTACACCGAAGTGCTTTTACTCATTAGAAAGCGATTTTGACTCTTTTAAAAGTAAATCCAAACGAGCTCTAAGACATTGCGTGACGAATGGTCTTTCGTTGGGCAAAGTCTTTCTTGATGCATGAATTTGGTGTACCCAACTACCCTTAATGCCAAAATTGTCTAACTCTTGGATCACCAACTTTTGCACAACAAGTGGTATCAAAGCTCATACAACACTTTGAATTCATTGGTGAACCCAAAGAGGCGAGGAGGTGCGGTTGCACCTCCGACCGCCGGAGTTCGCGGTGGAAAAATACAGTCTAATTGCTATATTAAATCACATAGAATATTAAGAAATAGTTCATCTAATTATATATCAAAATTAATGCATGCACATGAGCAATCAATGTTAAATGAACATGACATAATGGATTAGGAAAACTTGAAAATATGGTCGAGGCAAGTGTTAAGACACTTTGTCCTTAAGGCAAGTTTACGCCCCACTATGATGCTCATGGTTGATCAGTGCTTGTCTCCCAAGATACAACAACCATGTCCTTGTAATAGTAGTAGTCCAAATCACAAGGCTCTATGAGCCACTATTGTGTTGAAAACTTTCTCATATGAACTCAATGAAACTTTAATATTTAGTTCAATATATGTACAATTATGTAAATGAAAAAGTTATTTTATGCTTATAGGGGCTTCCTAATTTATAGATTTTGAGATACCTTATTGGAAAGCATGTGACTATTCATAAAGAGTGAAAAGTTGCAACTCTTCATTTGAATAGACGCATCTTTTTACCAAAAGGCTCCACTTATGATTTTCATTCAATTAATAAATTTAATATAATAATATTATTATTAAATTTTCCAACAATCTCCCACATAAATGGAAATTGACTCCACACTATGCAAATGGCAATGTAGACACTAGAGGAAAA